GAGCACAGCCCAAGGGGAGGGCGGGGGTGGGGTGGGGGTTCGGAAAGAAAATAAAAGACAACACAGCAATGCAAATATTTAGTTCATTATAAAAAACAATAATCTACTATGTATAAATTCTTCCTTGTCCTTCTGCCAGTGTGAGGACGTTTTCTGACTTTTCTCCTCAAATTGGAGAGAAAATATCTGCAAGGAAATAAAGTACTGATTTAAAACGAGAATAACAACAAAAGCCTCCCATTTAAAACCCTAACACAGTCTTGCCTTCCCATTTTCCCGTATCCACAACAATCAGAGAATTTAGAATTGGGAACTCAGGGTGCGCTCTTCTTAGACAACTGAATGGTCGATGTGATTTTAAGCAGGGCAGGGAGCACGGAAGCCAAGCGGGGAATTATCATCCTCCAAATTTCATACGAATGCCTTAAAAAGACGCCCACAAAGCAGGACCTGATTGCTAAATAAATCCTCGCACCCATTCTACTGGCATCCTCCCTTCTGTCGCCAGCAGCGTGGGTCCATTTACTCAGCTCAGAAATTAAACATTAACTATGAGGCTGAGCCTCTTTCCACATTCCAAAGGTAAAAGTTGTCAGTCAAGGTTTTTAATAACACCCCGGACAGCTGGAATGACGAGGAGGAGGAAGGAGGAGAAGGGTTACAAACCCACAGATGTTGAAGTCACTAACGTTTGTTTCCTAGAAAGTTAAGGTAATTACAAGTCCTTTCCCACTCCACTCCTCCCAGAATAAAGCCAGAGCTTTCCCCGCTCTCTGGGCCCCATCCTGCTCTCACTGATTTAGTGCCACCGAGGGCAGTGAAAGGCGGCTCTTTCTGACAGTGCCGATGTCCTCCAAGTGCCAACTCCCCTTCAGTTGCTTCAAAATACCACAAGCTTTTGTTTAACCAAAACCAATCCCTCACCATGATTCTGCACCAGCTCTTTAGATACGAAATGTCAAATTAACATTTTTCCTCATTAGCTGATTCCCCCCCTTCCCCTTCTTCTGAAAGCAACTGAAGACAAGCAAAGTGGTAAAACCGTCTCAAAAGCTAGGTTAGGCAATCCTCACGCAGGTAAAACTCTCATTAAACTCAAAGTTGCTTTGCTCCTCCTAAAGATTCCACACCTACTCCCGCGTTACAGCCATTCTTTGCCTCTGAGCTAAGCAGCCGGAGTCGAGGCCTGTGGCGGTTACGCGTGCACGTAGACATACAATTGACACCCATGGGCTCACTGGCCTCGTCTCCGGGCCTTCACGACTCAAACTCAGCTCCTAAGCTATGGGCAGATAGTGAAGATATTAGACACAGCTCTCTGAAATGCAAGCTGATGAGAGGATATTTCAACTTTCGTTGAAGCTGGCACAAATATAATATCGATAATCAGCAGAAATATATAACCTCAGGTGTTCTTTCATTCGGTTAGTCTATTTATGCTGACGACAAGCTTGTTCCTGACTTTTCCAACCATTCTTCTCAACGCTGATAAGAAATGTATTTCAGACATCTCTCCCAATAACTTCAGTCTCTCCTAAGCATGATTGAAAACACAAAAGCCTAACAAAAAATCAAAAATGAAATATTTATTACCGCATTTTGTGACTTAACACCTTTGTTTTTCTTTTTAAAACATAACGTCACAGTCCTCATACAAGTATTTTAATGTAAATTTTGACAAAGCTTAAAGGTAACAGCATTTTCTTCTAGTGAGGAACACGTGCTGAGAAAGGAAGAATTCATGGACATACAATACCAATTCCACAGCAGATCTGATACTAGCAAAAACATTCTTTTTTTTTCAATTGAGGTAAACACATAGAATATCTAACATGAAACAATTAATAGACCGAACTCTGTACGAAGTTTGTTACAGTATTCTCTTGCTTTTTTTTTTTTTCCCAAGCTTTGAGTTCATGATAAAGTCCTAGGTTTGGTGCAAAGACCGTTAGTAACTTCTTTCATTGAGGAAAGCTGCCCAACTTTTAGTTTTGTTTTGTCCAAAGCCAAGGCTTAGAACTACTGGAAGAAGCTCCTGCTCTGTCTGTTCTGTCTTTTAAATCTTCACCTGCAAGCTCTTTGAAGAAGAGTCCAAAAAAAAAAAAAAAATAGATTGGGGAGGAATGGGGAGAGACTTAATGAAGCACAAACTAAAAAGATCTGTTTGAAACTAAAGGACACATTTTATGGAGGAACAAAACGAGGGAATGGCAAGGCCTTCTTGGAACAGTCTTCTGAGTGATGAGAGACCCAGCAAGACTTTTCATCTTCATCTCCAGGGTAGTTCTTTTCTCACTGGCCAAAACAGGTCTTTCATGGATAGTGACTTCACTGCTGAAACAAAACAGTCATTATTTTTGGAACAACACACATAGTGTGGAAAACAAGGATTTTTTTTTCTTCTAAAACTATTTGAGGCAACGTAACGGAGTGATCAACAGAAATGTACAAGTTAACTTAGTTCCTATGTTTATACTACAGTAGTTATAACTCTTGGAGT